GTGTCGCATCTGTTCTGCCCCTATTCATGCTGTTTGCAGCTGCGGAGCTGCTTGGCGACGATTCGGCGCTTGTGACCACCGTGACATCGTCTTTTTCATCCTTCCCTCACCTCCCCCTCTCCCAGCACGAGCGCCGCCGCTCCCGACGCTATGCCGCCCCCCGACTCGCTCTACCTACGACGAGGCCAAGACGAGGCGCCACGCCTTCCACCGGCAAGTCAATCTTTCGACTCTGCAAGGGCCAAATTGGTCAACAAACTGGCCGATAACGACAAGACGACTTACGCGGGAGGGACCGGGCGAGCGGGAGGCATTAGGCGGGTCGGCGCTGACGCGGAGGGCGATTCTGACTGCTAGAATAAGGTCAGTGTGCTCAACGAGCTCCAGGACAAAGAACTAACCTTGTTTCTCGATGTTGAAGCTAACGGGCAGCGGTTTGGCGTCGCTGAAGGAAACGGACAACGGGCTTGGGCTATGGGGAAGGATAACACACGTCTGAGACGAGGTAAGCGCGGTCAACGACGTCCTCGACGATAAATTGACCATTTGTGCAGCGAACGGCCACGGCCTGTCAAAATCTTGGTTCGGGCAACGCCTGGACTGAGGCTGTCCCAGCATTGAATCGAATGGAGACGAGCGCGAGAGCTTCGGTCCGACTAGCGGGAACGTCTGGCGCAAATCTCGACAGCCGAGTTTGCGAAAGAGACTCACTACTCGACAGCTACTGGGCCAAGTCCGTTGCCCGGCCTATTCGGTGCCGCCCGCCTCGCCTCCTGCTTTGGGGGACGCTTCGGCAGCTTCTGCTGGCTTCGACGCAAGCGCGCCTATCTGAGTTGACACCAAAACTCACCCAAACAATCAGCTGCAACGACGGCAGCGGGATCCGGTCTTGAAATCGCAGGAATCAACAATGTGCATAAGCCAACACAAATATGGTTTCGCGACTCACCTGTTTTCCAGATTCGTTCCTGTCGGACTCGATAGCCAACTGAACCAAAAACAACTCACCTTCAGAACACTGAGAACAGGCGGCTCGAATCGAATTCGCTCAGGAGCTGGGGCCGGTAAGTCGACTCGTTCAATCCAGGGAGTTAAGACTCACATTTCTTCAATTGCCATTCTTGCGACGAACGACTATCCGCCCAAGGTCCCGCGATCGCCCAAAGTCCCGATCGACATTCTCGAATCGTCAACGCTGACGGTGTCGTTGTCGAAGGCGACTAATGGAGCGATATGGTCGCTCTCTGAAGCGTGTCAGGAAACAAGTCGCAGTAAGAGAACGACTCACACAGCCCAGTTATCTGAATATGTGCAGTTCTTCTGAGAAGACAGCGGACGCGGATTTCTGGACCAACGGATAGCTAAACAACTGGGTAAGATATTTGCATAGTTGCTTTAACCAGCCGACTGACGCGAATGTGGAGTTTCTGTGGAAGCGGCGCTGCCGAATTGAAGCGCGATCGCAACTTGGTACTTGGGTACGGTCTGTGTTTGTCCTGTTTGTCCAAACGGAGACTTACATGTTTCAGTTTCGCAGGGCTGACTCGGAAGATTGAAGGTCGTTATATCTGGACTTGTATTAGCGCGCTCACCGTTGCAGCTCAAGCTATTGACGACGAGGTAAATGACCAGGTCAAAGTATATGGATTACCAACTTACTGGCCTTCAGTTTCGCTTGAGCAGCGAAAGTCAGCGTGAACACTAACAACGAGCCACACTTGTAGATTTGTTTCCGAGGTCTTCGGCGGCGACAAATGAAGCTATTCGATAACGAGGTAAGTCAGAATTGGAAGTAGATGAATTGCTAACTCACTTACCTTTACTTGCGGGATCAGAGTTCAACGCTAGTCAAGCGCATACACCTTGATATTCTGGCAAACGTGCCGCGTCACTAAGAACAAGGTAAGCCCGATGAATTGAAGGACAACAAACTTACTTGGCTTTAGTGTTGCTTCCGGGCTCGACGTGGAACAGTATTCGCGCTCGACTACAACAAGGTAAGCAGGATGAATAATCAAAGTTAAGAATGACTTATCTTCAGTCAGCTAGAATGGCGGGCATGTTCAGCAGGACAGTATAGTAGAATATATGTCAGTACCCTGCTGTATTAAGTAGAAGAAACAACAAGATATTTGCTCACCTTTTGCGCGTGCCGTCACATACTCGTGACTCGTACCTCTTCCTCTTGTCCTTCATCCCGATTACTTGCGGTGACGGCCTCTTCAACGACCATAGCCTTCCACAAACGGGCATACCCGCCTCAAATTTCGGGACAGCGGGATGTAAGAGAGAAACGGCAATAGGGCAGCGGCGGATCGTGATGAGTCCGGCGACTCCGGCCCAGCACGCCCGTCATCCCTAGCGATCACACTACCACCAGGCTACACTTAACGCTCGACAGCGACTTGGCAACACCTACCACACGCTCTCCGGCCCAAACGGCAGCATTTCGCCGCCACCAGAACTTGTGCCGGCGCCTATCCGGCTTCCCCTTCCCCTCTGGCAACTCACGACAGACTACTGACTACGCCCTGGGCCGGCACGCTGTCCGAATCGTTGCACTGCCCCGGTCCGCCCGGTTTCTTCCAAACGGCTGGGGTCGGCACGCCTTTCGCGGCAGCAACTTGGGAGTGGCCGCCCAGACAACGTTGACGCGTTAGCCCCGACCCACGCCCCCGCTTTCCCCTCGTCTCTGACAATGGCCCGGCTGTGTCGACTGCCAACGCCAGCGACGACGACAAACCCACCGAATCAACCCTGCAAAGCCATCTTGGTCAGCAGGCCGGGCAGCAACGGGCAAATGCCAGTGGCTTACGGGGGGAGGCAGCGCAAACGCGGTTCCTCGGTGTTGAAGGCGACGGGCAGCGATTTGGTGTCGGTGAAGAGAACGGGCATCGGGCAGAGCGGTTGAGGGCTGGAACGAGGTCAATGGGACAAACGACGTTTTGTGTGAAACTGACTATTTCTACAGCAAACGCTGCAGAAAATCTCAGTCCGCGCAATGCCCAAACCGAGACCAGACTCAATAGGTCTGCAACGAGGTCAGTGGGCCCAACGCCGTGGTCAACGCGAAACTGACTATTTCTCGGTGTGCGCAACTCAGAAACTGAGTTTAGTAGGAGAACGCGATGAGGAGGAGTTGTTTGGGGTTTGAAGCAGGTGGGGAACAATGCAGGGTCGGGAGGCGGCTTTGGAACGAGGTAAGCAGGAAAGCTTAATCGACGACGGCGACTCACCTTTAGTGAATCGCGAGCGACGGGCTCGTCTTCGTCGCCAACAACAACAACCGGTTCCATGCAGTCAACAACCACGACACCCTCGTAATCGCATCCAACGACCGGCCCACCTCCGACCTGTAAATCCGCACGCAACGGTATCAGGTTCAACGAGCCAAAATCAGCAACAGCAAGCTCAATCAACAACGAAACTTGCGCTTCAATATCGCGAGCCCGCCTCCTTCGACAACGTCAAAGAGAATCCGTCGCAAGGCCAGGCAGCACTTTTGTTGGCCACTGCAGCTACAACAAGCACGAGTCAGCAGCAAGGTAATCAATCAGCAACTTCAACGCACCTCAGTCAATCGTCTCGCAAGAAGGCATCTGCAAGAATGTGAGTATGGAACGACTTGTCAAGCCCGAGACTGACTAGCACCAGGCTATGAGCCAATATGGACATTTGCGAGCGGCAATTGGCGCGGTTGTTGCGGGACTTGAGTGGTGGTCGTTTCAGGTGAGTCGCTGCAGGACATTTTGATAGGGAGGGTATTGCTCGCTCGAGTCAACGCAACAACAAGGTAAGCACGGACAACAGCAGATGACACTTACTTGCCTTCATGACCGGATGAGCTCTGGAACAAGGTAAGCCTGATAAAGTCAAAGTCGAGGAATGTAGCGCTGACTTACGTGAAGTAGACCGCAAACGCGCAAGTCCGAGAGACGATGCGCGTAAGCTATTGGGTAAGCAGGGTGATGCAGTGGAGCAGACGGAGGTGAACGACGAGGAAGGCAGAAGAAGTAGGAGATAGGAAAATAGAGATTTAGTCGCGAAGTAAATATAACGTTGGGGAACAACGAAGTGGGGAGAGCACTGTGAACGGAGAACCGCCTGAATTTCATGTGAAGGCGAAAAAAGGACATGAAATGTTCAATTTTTACCATGAAATTGAAAATATTATTTTCTTGAGTAGATTCCAAAAATATGGGTGCATGAATTTCATTTGAACTTTGGGTGGAATGGTTAATTTTTCCCCTGAAATTCATACTGGTTTGGGTTGAATTTCACTTTTTCGTGACTACCTGAAATTCATGTGGTATTCTTTCCATAGTGGAGTTGAGAATGAAGTCAAAGTGAAGGGTGTGGGTGGGAAGTAAGGAGAGTTTGCGCGTAATTTGATGTCGACCAGCTTGCTTTTACAGGTCACTCGACCGCGGAAGAGACCACGAGCGTGTTGAAGGCTAATTAGAAGGCGGGACCTGGACACTTGTCAGGTTGTCTCAACAGCAGCCACACTGGACATGGAGCCGTGCTGGAGAGCAAGTTGCGGCGTTCGGCGCCAGCAATTTCGGCCCATGCACGTGCTCAGACGGGCCAGCGCGGAACACATAGGCATTCAGGGCAACTGGGCGTCGCGAGCAGCGTGGCGTGGCATGTGCTGAAGGCCCAAAGCTTCAAGTATTTCGGCAATAGTACCTGCTGGATATATTCTTAAGGACTAGAAATTGTTTGGCAAGTAGATTAACCTGTGTAGTATGCAAATCGTCAATAATATGTCCAGAACTGAAGATACTAGATGATTTTATTGTGGTCGTGTGACTATCCGAGTCTTGCTGTCATCACACTGCCATACTCCCGACTTGGACCAACGTGGCGCTCACTTGGAGCGTGCAGCATGGCAAACGGGATCGTGTTGAAGAAGTTGAGGCAGGACAGCTTGCTGAGGGTGCCGTCAGTGGGCGGTGTGCATAGGCCGGTGAGGTCACCTTTTGCTTCACGAGACCACTATGCTCAGACTGCCCGCCCGCCAGTGTCCCTCGGGCATGTCCGGGGAGGCTCGAACACCATCTCCCAACTCGTTCGGCGCGTCTCGGCGCTTGTCGGCGGGCCGCATCGGCCGGTTGGCGGCGTTGTGGGCAAGACCGGTGAGCGCTGGGCTCAATTCGTGCCCGTTCTGGCTGAGAGTTCAACCACAGGTAGCGCCATTGTGGTGTTCCCCCTCCTGAAGATTGCAAGGCCAGCAGCCCAGCGGCTGCGGCTGCAGACGCCCGCGGCTGGTTGTCTCTCGGCGCGCATGTCAGCACAAGTGCGTGTTTCTGCTGTCTCTGGCTTCTTTTCTGCTAAATCCTTGCTCTTCCAGTCAATGCAACCCGCCATCTGCACAACCTTTCCAAGGCGCGTGTTGAGCTTGAACAAGGGCGGGAAGCGCTGAAGGAGAAGGAGGCTGCGAGGAGGGAACGGGCGGAGGCCCTAGTGAACGAGCTTCAGATCGTGTCAGAGAGGGAAGTTGCGAGAAGGGTCATCCAATCTGTGTTCACAGATGATGACGAGGAGAAGCACCATGTAAAAAGGCAGCAGAGCTTCTTGGTGTGCAAGTCTTGCTCTTCACTCTGTCTTTACTCTGATCACGAATTTGTTCAGTTTTTGAAAGACTCGCTGACGGAGGCTCTTGAAGATGATGTATTTCTTCCTCGAAGTCTACCCAAGGAAGAACCCGCGACGCCGACCCCCATTGTAAACAATACCAGTGCTTAGACCTCCCCTTCTGTCGAGTTCCCGACTAGCGACGATCCAACAACAACTAGCGACAACTCCAATCATACAACTGTTAGGCCCCGTCCCGACAGACCTTCTATGGGCGAATGGGTTGGCACGTGGTGGACCAAAAGTCGTCCGCGGTCCGTCTCAAAGCCCGCCATCCCCCCTCCCCTCGAATCCCCTCCGAAAAGCAACTCATCTGTCGAAACAGACGATTCTACTGTTGGTGCTACTGCCGTTCCACGAGCGCCTACCGCAAACCCTATCAACGGCAACCGCAGAAGGACAGTGCGAAGCGTATTTGGCACATTGAGCTTGTCGATGGGGAGTTCAAGCCGACAAAGTGTTGTATTATCCGACAATGCTTCTATTCATTCCACGGCTTTAGGTGCCAACCCGCCCGCCTCAATGGTGTCACCTCCCTTTTCGCCTGTAATCGCGGCTGCTCCACATTTAACGACAATACTCGATAGTTCAGATGGTACCTCGACAACCGGGGTATCTACGGCATAGACAAGAGAGTCAGATGCTCCTTCTACTCCACTCATTCAAGGCTCCGCAATAAGAGCTGTTGTAAACGCCACTCGTGTCATGACAGCGGAACCATCAAGCAATCTTGTTGACGGCGGACAAGACACAGAGCCGCTCATTGCGAGACTGGCGCTGGAGCTAGTCAGAAATGCTCGTGATGAGGGTCTCGTTTGGCGGGATCCCACAAAGGAACGGCGGGATCGGGAACGACGGGCTGCTACAGAAGTGGATACCTCTGCTGATGGCCCGATCGCAGTTCTCAGTCCACCGCTGACTTCACCTGCAGAGGCAATTCAGTCGGGCGCTGGGCAGTGCGGGAATTGCGAGCCAGGCGGGGTTTCGGGGCAAGACAAGCGGGAGTGGCAAATGGCGGCTGCAATTATGGCCAACGCAGCTAATCCTGCCCCGCTCTTTGCTGGTCTTATGTCTGCCCAAACCCAATCGGCTACTTCTGCGGCAACGGAACAGGCTCCAGAAGGGCACCTTCAGTACCGCTCGAATCAATCATCCCGCAAATGGCAAAACCACCCACACAATATTTTTCCCGGACATACACTCCGCTTACAGCACGCGATTTTCGCTTCTCGATCCCAATTCCGTCTGCTGCTGCTGCACGGTCTGCGCCTACTGCGAACGGGTGGAAGAGCCGTTGACAGATCGATATGGTTTCGTCTATGACATTGCACAGTACGATGTCCTTTTGCTCATACGAGCGAAAGAGTGTGGCTGTGCGCACCAGCTTGCTTCACGGGGGTCAAGATTGCAGACCGTGTTGAGGACGACGATGACGAGATGGAGGACGGGCGGGGCATTGAGATAGTGAGGACGGAATGCGATTGTGGCGGGGAGGACAACGGCTCGTTGAACAGCAACTCGCCGGACAACATGAGTGTCAAATCCAAGACTTCGGCAAAGTCAAAACGACTTTCGATCGTTTCGGCAACGGCAACAACACCCGTGCCGCAACCGAGCTTTGCGATATTAGCTGTAACGGCAGATTCTCCGCGCCATCCATGTGCAGCTACTGTCCGTCGATTGCTTGATGCACTCACAACATTGCATGACGAGCGGCAAACGTTACAAAGACGGGAGTAGGATGTGTTTGTCAAACAGTGTGGCCGGGCATGGGCAACGGCACAGTAGTCAAAGCCGCTGCAACAATTCTTGGACTGGGTACCTCTGACGAGGCGGATGAGCTTGCTCAGACTGAAGGTCTGATCGGATTTGCACAACTGGCCAACCGCGACTCGCCGACTTGTCTCCCAATCCAGAAGTCAACGCGCACGGCTCATCTTGCTTGTGCAGTTCAACAAGGTGCACACCGCAGCGACCGCGCACGCACTCGCCGCAGAGTTTCTGCGTGACCACGGTGTGTGGATGCTGCGGGTGCATTTTGAGGGCAGGGACATCAGGAACGACTACTCGGAGACGATAATTGATAAGTCGGAGCTATCGGAGGATGGCGACTATAGCGACGAGTGCCCGAAAACGGGCGAGGAAATTGAAAGGTTTATCAGCGACGAGGTCGTGAGGCTGGGAAGCAGATCTATCCTCGCTGGACCTAGTTGCGTCTCAATCCCCGTAGATCCAGTCCAACACCAACATGTACTAGTCGCGCACAACGGATCTAGAAATGTGAATGTCACCTGCAGCAGTAGAACCATTGTACTCCAAGCAGATCCACCTCAATTTTGGCCAGCAACAATCTGTGTGTTAAAATAGATAGTGCTCGTTGACAATCCTGAATATGAATATGAGAATCTTCCTTTGATTTGTTTTAGGTTAGTCTTTACAGTATGTACTAGTCAATATGTGGGTGATTATATAGTGGTATATCACGCTTTTATAGAATCCTAATCAGAATCCCAATCAATGATAGTCTCAGAATCTGATCACAATATTCCAGGCTGGAACATGTGATATATTCCAGGCCGGAATACAGAATGAAAACATGAGGCATATTGAGAATATTCCACGGATCTGCCCAACATTTTCCGGGCTGTCATATACATGGCAGATGGTGAGAAAATTGAGAATATTCCACGGATATTCCTGTCATATTCCAGCCTAGAAAATGGAATGAATACACCCTGTAATATTCAGAATATTCTCAACATATTCCAGGGCGGAATATGCTCCATTGCCCGCAGTGTAAGCCCACCAACTGCAAGGTGTACCCCATCTCGCCCCTCGAGCAACGCGAGCTCGACGCGTTCATCGAGGAAGGGCTTTCGACGGGCCGGATTCGCCCCTCTAAGTCTCCGATGGCGTCTCCGGTCTTCTTCGTCAAGAAGAAGGATGGCGGACTCCGCTTCGTCCAGGACTACCGTGCTCTCAACGCGATGACTGTCAAAAACCGGTACCCCCTTCCGCTGATCAACGACCTCATCAACCGGCTCAAAGGCGCTCGTTACTTCACCAAACTCGATGTCCGCTGGGGGTTCAACAACGTCCGGATCAAGGAAGGTGACGAGTGGAAAGCGGCTTTCCGGACTAACCGAGGCCTGTTCGAGCCCTTGGTGATGTATTTCGGCCTGACAAACTCTCCCGTGACGTTCCAAACGATGATGAATGACATTTTCCAGGACCTCATCCTCTCCAGAGACGTCATGATCTACCTTGACAACATCCTGATCGCCCATTCCGACCTCCGGAAACACCGGCAGATTGTTCAGGAGGTCTTGCGGCGACTCCGAGAGCACAAATTGTACCTCTGAGCGGAGAAGTGTGACTTTGAAAAATCGTCAATCGAGTACCTCGGAGTCATCATCTCCCATAACCATGTCGAAATGGACCCCGTCAAGGTCGCAGGCGTCTCCGCTTGGCCGACTCCGGAAAACAAGAAGGACATTCAGCAGTTCCTTGGGTTCGCTAATTTCTACCGCAGGTTCATTCGGGACTTCTCAACCCTCGCGCGCCCTCTTTTCGTGCTCACCAAGAAGGACCAGCAGTGGACTTGGGGCGACGCGGAGGCCTCCGCGTTCCAAGCGATCAAGGACGCGGTCACCTCGGAACCGGTCCTGGTGATTCCGGACGACGCAGGGCCTTTCCGACTTGAGGCGGACAGCTCTGATTATGCGACGGGGGCGGTTCTTTCACAATCCGCCCCGGACGGGAAGTGGCACCCTGTAGCATTCTATTCCAAAAGCTTAAATGATGTCCAACGCAACTACGAAATCCACGACAAGGAGATGCTCGCGATCATCCGCGCACTCGAGGAGTATAGACACTTCCTCGAGGGCGCCGCGCACCCTGTCGAGATTTGGACTGACCATAAGAATTTGGAGTACTTCAGGAAGACGCAGCACCTCAACCGGAGACAGGCCCGGTGGTCTCTGTACCTCTCCCGGTTCGACTTCACGCTGCACCACAAGCCTGGCCGCGATATGGGTCGGCCTGACGCCCTCTCCCGGAGACCCGACCACGGAGTCGATTCCGACAACTCCGATGTCGTCCTTCTGCGGCCTGAACTCTTCCACGTCCGCGCACTCGAGGGCGTTTCCGTTTCCGGTCCCGGCTCTGAACTCCTCCGTGACATCCGTGATGCCCTCTCCGGTGAGCCTGACCTGGAGGAGCCCGTCGCACTAGCGGCCCGGCAACTTCTTAAGGTTCAAGGTCAAGCTCGAGGCCCCCCGCTCCTCACGTTCTGACGAATGGGCCGTCTCCGGCGGTCTTCTCCATTTCCGAGGAAAGATCGTCGTACCAAAAGACAAGGACCTCCGGAGACGCATCATCGAGCTCTGCCATGACACCCGAGTCGCCGGACACGCAGGTCGTTTCAAGACCCTGGAGTTGGTCTCCCGGAACTACTGGTGGCCTCAGATGTCTCGCCATATCGGCCGGTATGTTGCGACCTGTGACTTGTGCTGTCGCACCAAAGCACTCCGGAGACTGCCCCACTGGAGAGCTGCACCCGACGGAAACGCCCCCAGAGCGTTGGCATACCGTCTCCGTCGACTTCATCGTCGAGCTTCCGGAGGCCCATGGGTACGACGCGATCATGGTCGTCGTCGACACCCTTGGGAAGCGTGCCCACTTCTCGGAGTGTCACACCACGGTCGACGCAGTAGGGGCGGCTCGCCTCTACTACCGGAATGTCTGGCGCCATCACGGGACTCCGGAGAAGTACGTCTCCGACCGCGGCTCGCAGTTCATCGCGGACTTCACCCGAGAACTTTGGCGTCTGATCGGCATCAAGCCCGCCACGTCCACCGCGTACCACCCGCAGACAGACGGTCAGACAGAGCGCGTCAACCAGGAGCTGGAGCAGTACTTGCGGATCTTCACCAACTATCAGCAGGACGACTGGGATGAGCTGATTCCGGCTGCGGAGTTTGCCTACAATAACCACGTTCACTCCTCCATGCAACAAGTCCCGTTCATGACGGACTCCGGCCGGCTCCCACGCATGGGCTTCGAACCCGGAGTCCGCTCCGCCATGGAGTCAGTGAATGAGTTCCGCGACTGGATCGCCACTGGTGTTGCCGAAGCAAAGGCCGCGCTCACAAAGGCCAAAGAGGAGTACAAGCGCTACTACGACCGGAGATGCACTCCGTCTCCGGAGTTTAAGGTTGGCAACCGTGTTTGGCTGGATGCCTCTGACATCAGGACGACTCGCCCCTCGGAAAAGTTCTCCCATCGCCGCCTCAGACCGTTCAAGATAGTCGCGGAGATCAGCAAAGGTGCCTACAAGCCCAACCTCCCTCCGCGCTACTTGAAGCTCCACCCGGTCTTCCCCGTCGTCAAGCTCGAGCTCGCCCAGGACGACCCCTTCGACGGACGCCCCGGCTACGACCAGCCCCCTCCGGACCTCGAGGACGGAGTCCCGGAGTGGGAAGTAGAGGAAATCTTGGACGCAAGGGTGAGGTATAAACGGCTGAACTACTTCGTCAGATGGAAAGGCTACGACGCATCACAAGACCAGTGGGTCCGCTTCGACCGTGTCTTCGCCCCGGAGAAAATTGCGGAGTTCTATCGTAAGTACCCTGGCAAGCCACGACACATCGCCTCCGCGACCTTCGACTCGATTCCGTTCCGGTCTATGCGTCGAGACGCCGCATTCAAAGGGGGGGGTGATGTCAGGGGAACCTCCCTTTCGGCCCGGAGACGCGCCCGATTCCGGTCCGATTCCGGTTCCGACTCTGGTCCGGCCCTCCATCTCGCCCGCACAATCACCGATCCGTCAACGCCCTCCCGACGGTCGCCCTGGGACCTCGCCTGCGACGCCGCCCAAGCCTTCTGTGCCCGACAGCGGCAGCTACGGACAAGCAGTATATAGTCAGCTACCTAGCAGGCGGACCCTCAGAGTTTCTTCTCTTTGGATCCTCCCCTGCTAGGTCAGCTTCATTTGTATTCGCTTACCAATGTTCACGCTTTGGATCCTCCCCTGCTAGGACCTTGATCTCAGGCCTCCGGGGTTGCCCTTACACATATATGATAATCATACTTATTGATATTTAGGATTTAGGGAGGGCAATATTATAATCCTAGTATTCAGAATATATTATATATTTTTTCAAAGATACTTATTTAGGGCCCGCACTAAACACCGCTGTCATCACAATAAAAAATGAATACATGTGTAAGTTATTTGATTCATCATCTCCCAATATACTTCAACTCAAGATATCGTGCTGGAACGAAAACAACCCCCGCAAACGCCGCCGCGAGCTCGAACCCGATGTCCCCGCCGAACGGATTCGCCGCCCCGCCGACGAGCGCGCCGATCTTGCCGATATACCACACCTGCGCCATGCCCATCGCCGTGCCGAGCGCGCCGAAGAGGAACGCAGCGCCGGCGGCGATCCCGACGGGCGTGCGGTCCTGCCGGTTCCACGTGTGCGCGACGTCATACGACGCGTACGCCCCGCGCCGGAAGAGGAAGTGCTCGAGGAGGACGACGGTCACAAAAATCGAGAGCCAGTACCCGAGCACGTTCATGAAGTCCTCGAGCGAGGTCGAGAACGAGTCCGCGCCGGCGATGGCGATCGGAATGTAGATCGCGGTGATGACGACGGGCCAGATGAGGCGCGGGATCTTGGCGAGCCAGACGCCGATGACGGAGATGGACATGCCCATCGAGTAGACGTCTACCCGAAGGTGAGGTCGATACGGAGAAAGAAATGGAGCGTACTGATGATGTTGTTTGCGACCACGCTGAGAACTAGTAATACCATGCAGAACTTGCCAAACTTGCCCACGACGGGGACGAGTACTGCCCCGAGTAGGCCACCAAGCTCATTGTTAGTGTAAGCCGTCGCCCAGACGTCGTTTGACGGCGCTTTTCCCGTTGCAACACAGGCGATTGCCGCCCCGAGCCATTCTAGAAGGACTAGAGGGAAGATGAGGCCGGCGTATGTCCATGCGAAGGTCTTCCAGGCCGGTGTCTCGGCGGGCTGGTAGACGTTGTAGTCGCTGGCCAGGGAGACCCACCCGATACAGAACCCGAATATGACACCCATGAAGGACAGCACGTTGGAGGCCTCGGCCTGGCCGCTGCAAACAATCAACTCGTGAGCGCGAAGACAGCAGAATGACGCACGTTCCCATGGGCACGTTCACGAGGTACTTCGCGGAGCATCCCAGGACGATGAAGAAGGTGATGGCGGTGGGTATCCAGGACCACTTTTCGTAGATGTGGACGTATTTATAGCCGAGCATGCCGAGCGCGAGGGTAATTATAGCGATGATGACTACGCCCGCAGCGTCAGAGATCGTCTCATCGGCAACGACACGCAGCGTCTGCGCGCCAGCGATGGAGTTTATGGCACTATAAATCAATCAGTGGGAGAACAGCATTTAGCACAGAAAAGCACCTCCAGCCAACACAGGCAATGCAGTTCAGCAATGCGACAATTTTAGCACCGTGCCAGCCCCACGAGTACCGCGCTGAGGTCATCTGGCGAAGGCCGAGTTTCGGGCCGAAAGTGGCCATGTACGCGGGGAGGATGGCGGTAAAGACATTAGTGAAGAAGATGGCGAGCATGCTGTCGCCGAGTCCGAGGAAGAATATCGCGGGGCCCAGGACTCCGATGCCGAATGTTGACAACACGGTATTTGCCGCTATCCATCTGGGAGCAATTCAGAATATTGAAATGCAAAAAGTTGGTGCAACACACATAAAGAAATTCGCACTCGGGCCGCCAAACCGCTGATCTTCCGGCACCCGTTGTATTCCGCGGGCCTCGATGCCGACTTTGCGCTCAAGCGTGGCGCTGAGCGCAAGGGTGCGGCCCCAGAAGGAAGTCGGGTCAACGGAGGTGGGTGAGGCGTCGAGTGTGTTGAGGTTGTCTGTGTGGACGCGTGAGAATGGAAACGGAGAGTGGTGGGAAATAGAGTGGGCATAAATGGTTAGTCTCCGCAATCTCCGTTTTACGTAGCGCGACAAAAGGCAAAGGGCAGGAACGGTGGCTCCCTAGACCGAGGCTAGTCTGGATGGACCAAACCAGGGACTGTGGACTCCACAGCGCCAAAGCCAACAGAATGCGAGAGAAGGGGGGGAAGGACAACTCACCTATCCTCTCATCGACGCCCTCGACCTCCTGCACACCCGCCTGCTTCTCCAAGTCGGGGCTGGCGCTGTCTTGCCCGCTCTTTCCGCTCTTGATGGACGACATCTTCTCCGTTGCTCGTAAACACGCCGCAGGTAGGACGGGGGAGGGGGGGTAAGGGTGGACGAACGGCACACGACGCGGCCTAGCTCGCAGCGGTTTGGTTTATATTCCGGGCAAAGAGACACAAGCGCGGGGCCGTGATGGATGGGGCCACGCTGTGCGATAAGTGGGCCCATGCGTCGCATGGAGCGAGCGATCCAAGATTAGCATGACAGGCCATGGGGTGGGCTTCCGCTGCTTCGCGAAGAAGAAGCACCGGGGCCATGGTAAGTCGCGACGGGACAAGCGTGTCATTGCGATGGCCAGGGCAAACATCGTGAGGTCCCAGCCAGGGAGGAAAGTGAGCTGGCTGTGAAGAAAGTCGATGACGTGGCGGTCGGGAGATAACGAGCAAAAAAAAAAGTGTGGGAATCGGCCGCTTCGGAGGTATCGGGTCGATTGCTCCGCCCTGATAACTGATCTGATCCGGGATGGGCAGCAAGTCGGCACCGAAAATATCTCTGCTTAGCAGCGGCGAACAGGTATGCGACAGGCATGCGGACGCCCACAACGGCGTCGGCCAACACATTCTGCTCCACGACGTGGGCATGAAAGATGTGTCTGCGAAGGTTCAGTCGCAGCGCCATCGCAACTGCCTTGTTGTCGAGATGGTAGGTGGGTGTGTATTTTTGAAGCGCTCACTAGTTGTTCGCTTCGCGCAAATCATCCAATGTGATCGTTGGCGTTTGAAAGCTTCGGATTTAGCCAAGGATTTAGCTCAGGGTGTTTCAAGCGTCCTAACTCCGAGTTTCATGATGGTGACATTCACCACCCTCCACCGGCACTGAGGCTCTAGATGCAGTACTACTTTGACGATTTGAATAGAAGACAGGCAAACTTGAGGTCTAGCAAGATTCCAAGTTGTTGACAAATTGATGGAGGGAATGCTGACGTCATATCCATTTGATGCTGACACGTCAACCCACTTCTCTCGCCAAACGTCCATGAGCTCGACGTCGGGGCTCAAGATCCCGCTGCTCCTGGCCGTCGCGGCTGGCGCACACGTCACAATGACGCCGCCCAACCCTCCCCCCGCCGAGAAGGACCGGCTGCCCCCGAGCGGGCTTGAGCATGCTGCGCCGCGGCTGTTCCCGCTGCTCCTCAAGGTCGGTCGAGTTGGGCATCTGTGCGTCCATGTACTGCCTCAATCTACTTTGCCAAGTAAATAGCCGGACTCAACGAAACTTCAGGGCTTCTTCTGGACCTGCGGGATAGCGGAGATTGCTCTGCTCGCGGCCGAGCACTTATCCGGCTCTCTATTGTCTGCCGACACAGCAACACAGATACTCCGACGTCTCGACCCTCTAAATGCTTCCGGTAAGCTCTCACTCACCACGCCCTTCCTCATTGGCGCGGCATTCAACCTCCTCGGCTCTGCGCTTCGCCTCCACTGCTACGCCCGATTGCGGCACTTTTTCACCTTCGAGCTGGCGCTGCATCCCGAACAGCATCTTGTAACCAACGGTGTCTACGGGCTGGTGCGCCACCCAAGCTATACTGGCGCGCTCCTATCTGGCGTCGGCGTTGCCCTCTGCACGCTCACGCCCGGTTCATGGGCGGTGGAGTGCCTGTTGGGCCCGAAGCGAGGGGCACTGAGTACTCTTTGGATCTCTGGAATCGGGCTCGCGTGTGTCGGGCTGCGCTCGCGGATGAAGAAGGAGGACCAGATGCTAAAAGATCGATTCGAGAAGGAATGGGATGACTGGGCGCGGAAGGTGCCTTATTGGATAGTCCCCTGCCTTTATTGACGGCCCAGGCTCCCCGAGGCCTTGCTGTACATCGGGAAACTTGAATTTTCAGGTTTCTGAGATTCAAGTTTCGCAAAAAAAAACTCTCGTTCAAGCCAAGCTGATGGCCCTGGAAAGAATTTCATCCGATCAATTCCTAGACTAGAATCGGGTCATGTGCACATTCTCTCCTTTCCTTTTAACCACCACTTCCTCCAAGTCGATGGATTCAGAAGGACGAACACGCTCCACAAGCCCACCGCCACGCCCCTTCAAACGCTCCAGGGACGGCCCCGGGCCGCAACGTCATCCAACACTCTATCTAGATGCGGCTGATCTTTGCGTCATCCGGGTCAAGCAAACACTATTCAAGGTGCTTACAAGTACTAGTCGTTCCTTTTGGGTTGATGTTGACGCCGAGTAGATTCATCGCAGCTTCCTACTAAACATGCAGGCGGTTCCAGAGTTCTCTGTCCTCTTCGAACGCCAGGGCACAACTGACGACGATCCTGTCGACCTTCTAGACGATGCGCCGGAAGACTTTGCGGCTTTGCTGAAATTTGTTTGTCGTGGGTACGCCAAACTTTGAGCCATTTTCCTTCCTCCTTACCCCGGTGCTTCGCTTTCAGTCCCCACCCTCAGTATACCACCCCGCCATTCTCCGAACTAAGCGATGTGTTTGGCATCGGCCGACTTGCAATCAAGTACGACATGCCCGACTGGAAAACCTGGGTGTCCACCGCCATCTATGTCTTCGCTTGTAATCACAAGGATGAACTCACCTCCAGCAACTTCGTCACGTCTTTCGACATCGCACATGGTATCAAGAGCGAACACGTCCAGGGCGCAATTGTCGAGGCATGGCTGCCTCGCCTATCTTCTGGGAATCTTCCCATCGGTCCGGCTCTGAAGGCAGCCGCAAAGCATAACAACCGGCCATTCCTGGCCGCGCTGTACGAAAACGAGCTCAAAAAGTTGTCCGCTGCGCCGCTCGACCAGTGGAGTCTGAGTGGCATGGACAACGTTCATCAGAAACGCATCTTGGCGGGATACTATTCACTCAGCACCAGGTGGACAGCCTTCTCTGCAATGCCGCTCACCGGCAGCCTGCCCATCGCGAAGGCCGCTTGCAGACCGCCGGAGCCTGGACAGCACAGCGCAACATGCCTCTCGAGCTTCACCGCGGCCTGGAACGAGGCGCTTGGAACCGCGGTAGAGGCGTATCCACGGGTGCACCAAATGCGCGAACGTGTCGCGCAACTCCAGAGGACGCTGGAGGAGACGTCCAAGAGCCAGTCGCGGCGCGGCATCTGTCGGTACTCCAAAACGGAGAACGATGCGCTGAGCAAGGAATGTGAAAAGCTGACAAGTTATGAGCGCTATTTCTTTGGTGAGTTTCGAGATGTATGCCTGAAAGATGCTGAGTGCTCTAGCCATGCGTTAAATCTTGCAACTTCTTCCGGACCAATTCCGGACTGTCGAGATTAGCGTTTTCGAGATTTTTGCTATAATGCTCTTAAACAGTGCTGGCCATGAATAAATACCTTTTGAATAAACATTGACTATATATTCTGAATGTTATGGATATAATATGATATCAGTATAGACCTCGAATATTGATATACCTGAATATAATATAACTAGACAGGGCTTCCCAGCTTTGAACTTGAATGTTGCTTAAATAACATGAATTTCTAAATTAAGAACATTGCCGCTGACCATAGAATGGCACACAGATGCTCCATAGCCTTCTTAAATATCTCTTGTTGAGTGCAACCAAAGTCCACTAACATTTGTGATTATTTATCAATTTGTGGGCAATTTGAGAATATTTACTTGTAAAGAACCTTAAGCAAGGGGGGTTCAAGTCTCGAATCATGGATATAGGGCCGGAAAGTTTTTTTCCCGACCCCTGGGGGACCCCCCCCCTCCCCCCTCCTGCCATATCGGATAATATGTTCCTACGATTCGCATCATGTGACCACTGATGTGATCAAAAAGTGGGATAGAAAATTCAATCTTTGTGAAACGTTTTTTTGTAAAATTTTTTATATATGTGTATGTGTATATGTGTATGTATGTACCTGAAACCTTCAAACTGTAAGGGCAACCCGCAGCAGCAGCCACGGAGGTTGCAGGCAAGGTCCCAGGGCCACTGTCGGGAGGGCGTTGACGGATCAGCGATTGTGCAGGCGAGATGGAGGGCTCGACCGGAGTCGGAACCGGAATCGGACCGGAATCGGACACGTCTCCGAGGGGCCGAAAGGGGGCTTTCCCTGATACAAACACACATGGTAGGCCATATCAACTCTTCAATATGTTCACCTCTCATCAATTACCTGTCTATGGACCTATGACAGAGTGGGCTATCCAAGCTCATGGGCCTGAAAGTATATAGATATAAGTATGAGAGTTGTGAACTATAGAAATTGGAGTGTATGCACTATATTTTTAACCCATATAAGGCTAAATCTTTTATATACAAAAAGTTTTTTTACCCCCCTGGGACCCCCCGCCCCCCCTCCCCCTGCCCCATGTGCCTGATAAGGATCTTGAACCCCCTTGACCTTAAGAACAACTAGTAAGTTGTTCACAGTACTGGGTGCAAGGCATGACTTACAGCTCTGCATTTCAATTAGGATTGGTCACATTTTACAGCTTTTCTTACCAATTTAGGACTTTAACAGCAGTGACCCCAAAAATGGAAGTGTGGAGCAAATCAAGTATCAAAAGCTAATGCCAAAATATATAAGAGTAATAATATATTATGATGGGGGATAAGGTAAAGTCTGAACTTTAAAATTGTTTCCTATACTATTTAATAGCAACACTACTGTACTTACTATTTCAATCAATTTAGCATGTTGCAATTATACCCAAATTTTGGAAACCCGGAAATGTTTTTTTTCCCATTTTTTTAAGGATTTTTGGGCAACATTTGATACCATTTTTTTTTAAAAAAAACAGTGATGCAGCTCAATATCTCACTGATTACATGTTGGGCCCACATAAGTAATCAACACAGTCAAGTCATGAAATTTATAATCATCTAACAGTTACATTTTTTTTGGTAATTTCTGTTGGTTTTTTTTTTTTTTTTTTTTTTATTTCCCGTTATTTGGCCTCTACAAACAATGTATGGTAGCCATTATCAATCACCTCCAGAACTACTTTGTCTCTCCTCTCGTGTGTGCTTTCCTTGTCAGGGGAACCTCCCTTTCGGCCCCTCGGAGACGCCTCCGATTCCGGTCCGACTCCGGTTCCGTCTCCGGTCCGGCCCTCCATCTCGCCCGCACAATCACCGATCCGTCAACGCCCTCCCGACGGTCGCCCTGGGACCTCGCCTGCGACGCCGCCCAAGCCTTCTGTGCCCGACAGCGGCAGCTACGGACAAGCAGTATATAGTCAGCTACTGACGAGCCTCCGAGGCTCATCAGTGTTGCTTAGTCAGCATTGATCCGTCGGTCCCGCCTTTCCGGACTCGTTCCTAGTTCCTGTTCCTTTCATTCAGTTCTCTCCTGTATGCTTTAGTATAAAAGGCATGTAGTAGAGTAGCATTTGACCATCATATTCTCTTCCTTCTCTTTCTCTTGAGCTGTTAGCTCTAGTTGCTGTTGGAGCCCTTTGAAGGACTCTGGCATTTTCTTGTCTTTTCTCACTGTTGTGAGAAAGCATGTCATTTGGAGCCCACCGCGAGGGTACTTTAAATCGCATCTGACGCACTCCACTGACAGCTCTACATGCTATCGACACCCACTTGCGTTGATCGCCAATTCTATTGATTCCTTCTCTTGCCATATACATCCGCCAAAGCTGATCTCGACGTCTACGACATCCGCGCATCCCCTCTTCGACACCACCCCATCTGCTTCGCCCCCCGACATATGCAGGCAACCACCTCGCACGACAAATTCGATCTCTTCACGCCCTCTCGGCCCGTTCCAATTCCATCGGTGCTCCTCTGTGGCCTCGCACCACCGTGGTTTTTTTTTGCAACGTCTTGCGCTGGAAATACTGCTCAGCACTCGGCATATTTGCCAAACGAGCACTTACCAAGGATTTTCTCTCGTCTCCATCATCAGCAAAGGAGCCGCACCACGTCAACCTGCTCCCGGCAAGCTCGTCCCACCCCGCCGCATTCGTGTCCCTGTTGCGGCTGGTCAACTCACCCAGTCCTGCACATCTCTCGCCGTCCATTCGCTCGGCTGGGACAACGGCCTCTGTCGTCTCTCCATTTGCGCTACATCCGCACGCACAATTCAGCGCGCCGTGCCCGCCAATAGTTGGACTAGCACTCACCTGGTCTGCGCGGACCCTCGCCCTTCAAAACTCAGTCCCCTCGGCCACTACTCGACCCACTCGAGCTTTGTCGCTCTGCCGAGCCGCTGGGCTGTTATCCATGGTATCTTGCCATTTAGTAAGCGACAGCGCTCGCGGACGGCCCTGTTTTGGACCATAGTCTCAGTTTGGGTTCGTTCTCAATGATCACCACGTACCTTTGTCGTTTCGCCCGCGAAAAGCGCACTACTTGACTGACGAACCCGAGTCCTTGCCGTTCCTTGGCAGCTGTCCATTCCTCGTTCCTCTACTCCTCTGCCGGCCCTCCGTTTCGCATCCAACAACAACGGCGCAGGGGCATTCATTTCATGCACTTAGCCCGCCGTCAAAGCCGCCGAAGACGTTCGCCGCCGCCCTGTGGCAGTCCCGGTGCCAAAGCGGACTGCTTCTGGCCCGTTTCTGCGACTGCAGCCTCAGTATTAGCTCTCTCGTCACTGAGGACCACTCACCTTCGCCGTTCCCGCGCCAATTCGCACCGCCTCCACGATCAGCCCCCTCTCGCTCAATTCCTCGACTCCCTCCTCATTCTCGACTCCCTCCTCATTCTCGACCCCTCTGCACCTCCCGTCGACCTCAGTCGAACATTCTTTCGCTTCCCAGCCGTTCTAGTCGTCGTCTTGGGCACAATTAACCGGGTGCTTGTTGATGACGATGGAAGACAAAAGCAAAAGATGACGCGTGACTGATGCGTGACAACGGTCGCAAATGTCGTCCGAGAACGTCCGAAACACGCCGATTCTGCACCATAAATTATACAATGATTCTGTTCTTCAGACTCCACACACCCAGATTGTCCTCCCATGCTTGTTGCTTCCAGATGCTACAACTTATGGCTTGATTTACAACACTCCCACTACACACTCCACAGTCGACACCTCCGCGGATCTCCACTCGAACGAGCTATACTCTGAACAGCTCCCTCGACACCTGCCATTTCAATCCCACACCCATATCACTTACTTCCCCGCACTCAGTTGCATTTCTCCAACCTTCAACAGTCTTTTGACCGTCCGGCCGCTTTCTCTGATCCGGATCAACCTTCTGATCTGCATTCACACTGTTCGCTGATTCGCAGGCCAATCGATCGCCTGGTCAGACAGTGGTGCAGTTGCTTTAGGACTTCCTCTTTGGATAAGTTTCCAGACTTGATGAAGTCTACCATCCCCTTCTTTGATCTTTTCCCTGAATTTTACTTGCTTCAGCTGTGACTGGGGACAGTCACATTTTCAGTTGGGAGGAGGTGACGAGCCTCCGAGGCTCATCAGTGTTGCTTAGTCAGCATTGATCCGTCGGTCCCGCCTTTCCGGACTCGTTCCTAGTTCCTGTTCCTTTCATTCAGTTCTCTCCTGTATGCTTTAGTATAAAAGGCATGTAGTAGAGTAGCATTTGACCATCATATAAATCGATAGCCTAACTGAGGCCCTTGCTTTACTCACCAACCAGGCTTCCGCTGCCGCTGCCGCCGCTAATAATGCTGGCGGACCCCAAACACCTTCGCCGGAGACGTCGATTCCGACTCCGACTCCGGTCCAGGGCGACTCCGAAGCCCTTTTTGGCGACATCAACCTTGCCTCAAAATTGGTCTTGCGACCAAACCCCCCGTTCACCTTCAACGGCGACCAGAAACGTGGCCGCGCGTTCCTCTACGCGGTCCGCACCTACGCCCGCCTTGCCCCTGAGGCCTTCGTGGTCAACGGAGAGGCGAGCGAGGAAAAGTGCCATGTCGTTCATGGCAGAAGGACCCGCTCAGCAATGGGCGGAGCGCCACGGAAGCAAAGCCCCGTTTCCGTTTCCGTCCTGGGGCTCGTTCGTTTCCGAGTTTCGACTCCGGTTCGTCGAGGAGAATGAGCAAGATCACGCTCTCTCCAAGCTGGAGACTTCCGCCTATCACATGGGTACAAAGGATGTCTACCAGTACACCGACGACTTCGAGGACCTGATGGACCTCGCCGGATTCAAGACGCGCTGGTCAAGGTGACCAAGTTCCGCCACGGACTTGACCCCCTGATCAATAACGGAATCACATCCTCGAACGACCCCCCGGACCTCCGGGATTACCTTAGCTGGCGCACCCGGGCCTTCCGTCAATACGAGGCCCTGGTCCGG